CATCCTTCTTAGATCTCTGATAGCATGGATGGCTAGGCTAACTGTGGCTTTGTCAGTTTATCAACAACAAACCTACCACCTCCTTCCCCAAGGCTGCAGCTGCCTTCTCAGTTCATTCCATATGTAGAATTGAGCCACACTTTTTCTAGAGCTATTAAGAATCCAGCTAAGAAAGACAGAATCTACCTTGCCGACAGAGATAAAATTCACAAAACAGGTTTAAAATGTTTCAGAGGGTTTTTTCCCCCTTTCTAGACTATTGTTATACTAAGACTTTCAAAAGCTCAGAGTTTCAGAGTTCTGATAACACAAGCTCAAATTTTTAAATTCCTTTGGTTGTCTTCTAAGTATATACTCAAAAGTGCTTCTCAATCTTGCTAACAAAAACACCTTTGTCCAATCTATATATCCAGCCCCCTGGAAAGAGTGTTGATGCTTTAGCTCAGAATCTTTGGGTCCTTAAGCTATGACTCAAAGGCATCAGTTTCCTGATGTTTCTACAATGTGGATTTCAGTATACATTATAAACAGTGGTAATGCTAAGATCTCTAAACTTTGATCTCTTTTTGTAAACTTAAAGAAATATTAAGCTCCAGGAAGTCAGCTGGATCTACCTCTGGCAGGACAAACAGACTACAGAGAAGTTACTCATAAGGTCCCCAACAGCCTATTCTTGAGGGTGAGATAGATTCCCCCCCCCCAGTCTTGGGACTCTTCTCTCCCAATTACCATGGGCCTGGAAGTTTCAAATATATGCCCCTAAATTTTTTCCTAAACTCCCTAACTTTACCTTCCGTTCCTAATCTATACCTGTTCCATCAGATTTCTAATTGGCTGAAGACTATAAATTGCCCCGAACAAATTGCTAGATGCTTCTGATGGAATTTCTGACCAGCCTGAACCCCTGCATCCTAGACTTCCAAAGCTGCCTGCACTTCCTAGCCCTGGGTTGTCCCACAGAACATGGGCAGAGAGCAAAACAGGCTGCCCTCCTTGCTCTTCCTGTCCTTTGAGCATCATCCCAGCCTTCCTGGGCCCTTAACAGTGATGCCCCAATTTCAGCAGGATACAGTTATAGAAGAGGTTACATCTCTCCTTATCATCAACAAAAGGCTGGAATGTTAGATCTCAAACCTAAAACAAGTCTCACTCAGCATTTCACACCCCACCCCCTACCCCAAATCTCTCCCTGCCAGGACCTGGATGCCTCCCTTTCCCAGCCTGATCCCCTATATTAACTCAACATTACATTGGCTACACCATTCTCTTTGTCTCTTGGCCTGGACTGCTTCTTTGATCAGGGGCTCCTCTTTTGCTCTCCTTCCCCATCTCTCCTCTCTCTCTCATGGCCCAATTTAGTGTGCTGGCCTGGGCTCTACCCTCTGCCTGTTTTCTCCTTTATATTGACAATAACATCTTCATACTTTAGGAAGAAGCATGTTCTCATTTTCTTTTACTCTTTCATCCACTCCTTGTCCTTTCTCTGCTTCCCCCTTGTTCTCTTTCCTGCTTTCTCCTTCTCTGCCCCGTGACTACCCAGGCTATAAGTAGACAACCAAATCTCTATATCTCTCACTAGAGATGCCCCTGAGAGGTCTTTTCTAAAATAAAGCATGTGTTCTTATTCAGTCATTCCCTTGTCTTTATTTTCTTATATCTTTTTCTTTCCTTTTCTCACTGTTTTCTTCATGTTTCAGTTCTAGTTCTCTGCTCCCTCCCTTACTCTCCCTTCTATATATTTGTGAGGCTGTGACAGGGAAGAGGGTGAGAGCGGCCTGTTGACAGAAGAGTCATATGGTCTTGGCCCCCACAGATGTGGAGGAGGCAACTTGGGGTACTGACTGACAAAGGAGGTTTGGTTGAAGTGGTGTATGGGTAGCAGCCATTGTTCAAAAGTCATTGTTTTTCATTAGGTACAGCTGATGTTTGATTTGTTTGACAATTCAGTATTTGCTTCATATTTGTTAATGACCCTTGCCAACTTTGAGTTCATCTTCTATTCCTATGATCCCCTCAGTCTTCATGGATTATGCCAATTGTTCCTGGAGAGAATATTTTCCATGATATGATTTTCCTGACAGCAGCAAATTCAAGAGAAGGTTAGCTTCTCTTTTTTATTCAGCCCTAGACCCCAGCCTATGCAACGTGCTGCCCACAGTTAAAATGGGTCTTTCCACTCCATTTAACCCAATCTAAAAACTCCCTCACAAACATGCTCATAAGTTTGTGTCAAGCCTGTTAAGTTGAAAATACTAACTATCACAACACAGTAAAAATGTTTAATGCAAGTTCTGTGATATTTCTTAAGTGTGTCCAAGCCAGGGCACTTGGGCAGAAGGGCTAGTGGCTAAAATTTTACAAGCAAAATGAAACAAAAATAAACGGGTGAGGAAGATCTGGAACAACTGGAGCTTGTAGACATTGCCTGTGGAGTGAAAAATGATAGGGACACTTTGTAAACAGTTTGGCGGCTTCTTAGAAGTTAAACATTCACTTATCCCACGGCGTCTTAAGAAGTTAAACATTCATTTACCCCATATTGAGGCAGGATAGAAAAATGGGGAGAACTAGGGGGATGCAGGAAGGAAAAGGGTCCCCTCACCCCAGAGTCTGGCTGAAGCCTCTTACCAGCTGGGAAGCAGGAACTCTAGCACATCTGCTGCAAAAGCTGCCGGCCTTTCACATAGATTCTATGTTAAAATAGCAGCGAATCAGGCTTAAGTCCTGGCTGTGTCCACCTTGAGCAAGTCCTTATTCCTTCCCTAGACGTTTTCTGGGAATCTCAAGCAAGGCAGTTAACTCTGTCTGCAGTGAAGGTGTTCTACCTTCCTGCATCCCTTTGATCCTATTTTTACCTTATCGGTTATAATCTTGTCAGCGTATGTGAGGGAGCACAATAAGGATTGCCAACATGACCGATCCATTATTAGGGACAACTTTTTTTTTTTTTTATCTTTATTTTTATTGTGAATAACAGAGAGAAACTATTCAGATGAATCTGGAAGAATTCAGAGCAGAGAGAAAAAGCAGACTGGACATGTCCAGGATTAGGGATGCAGGAGAGGGGAAGAGAGTAATGGAAAGAGCAAGAGCTAGAGCTAGGGCATACTGAGAGGGCAAGAGAGAAGTGTGGAGTGGACAAATTATGTGGGTTATAAGCAGGATGGGTAGCTGTAGGGCGGTACTACTTCTGAAGATGGTAAAGCCATCTCACAAGTTCTTGAAGATGTTGGCTTTTATCTAGCCACCAGGAATCCTTACATAGTCCAGACTGAGTTCATTTGAGTTCATTTCTGGATATATGGGCTTCCTGAGACCTAATGGTCAGGAGCCACACTCTGTGGACTCTTTTAGATTTCTTAGCAATGCTTTGAAAATAATTGCTTCAAAGCCCATCAAGTATTATTATTGTAAGAACAATGAAGTACAACCCTCCCTTGAGAATCTGATGTCCACATCTGGGTATGCCATACATTCCATGTGAGCACTTCTCTGTCTCTTAACACTTCAAAATTAAGCCTATATTAAAATATTTTATTAGAGTCCTACTCTGCTAGTCCTGAATATATATATATGTGTGTGTGTGTGTGTGTGTGTATATATATATATATATATATATATATATATATATATTTTTTTTTTTTTTTCCCCCTCATTAAAGCTACAAACCTTTGGTTTGGCCTGAGTTAAGTCCCTAAAAGATTAGGGGAACATCTCAGACTTCCGAAGGCTACAGAGTGGAGCAGTTCTTTCTTCCTGTTCCCTTTGATAATATGGCCTAATAAGCCTTGTCTTAGGAGAAATGAAAGTTTATGTTGACATGAACACCTATACAAAAATGCTGACAATGACTTGATTTGTGATCATTAATAATTGAAAACAAAACTATTCTTCAGTATAAACAAACTCCCACAATGCAATACTACTTAGCAATACAGAGGAACAGTGGCGTAGATGAACCTCAAGATAAGTACACTAAGCATTAACAAAGCCAGACTCAGAAAATGTCAAACTATTTTCCAAAGAGGTCATACTATTTTGCACCCCCGCCCTCTCTTTAAAATCCCTCCCATGAGAATCTCAGTTGCTCTTCATTTTTTTTCCAACAGTAAACAATGTCTTTCTAATTCCTGATATTCTGACTCGTCCAAATAGTCAAATCTTGTTTTGAGACAGGATCTCACTATATAGCCTTGACTGGCCTCAGACTCACTATGTAGATAAGGCCTTGTACTCACAGAGTCAGCCTGACTCTGCCTCCTAAGTGCTGGGTTTAAAAGGCATGCACCCCCGCACCTGGTCATACTAAGTTTCTAATATGCATTTTATTTTAGCTAGTTCTATTGGTCATTCGTTAATTTTTGATGATTTGTTTTATTATAATGTTTTTAAAGATTTATTACTTACACAGTATTTTATCTTCACACTAGAAGAGGGCTCCAGATCTCAGTATAGATGGTTATGAACCACCATGTGGTTGCTGGGAATTGAACTCAGGACCTCTGGAAGAGCAGCCAGTGCTCTTAACCTCTGAGCCATCTCTCCAGGCCTGTTTAAAGTGTGTGTGTGTGTGTGTGTGTGTGTGTGTGGTGCATGTGTTCACGGGTGTAGATGCCTGCAGAAGCAAGGGTCCGTGAGGTGCCCTGGAGCTGCAGTTAAAGGCATTTGTGAGCTACCCAACAGGGGTGCTGGTACCCAAACTCTGGTCCTCTGTAAAATCAATACGTACTTTACAGGCCGGTCATTTATTTTCACTGTGATTACTGTTCGATCGGGAATCGGCGTAAAATGTTTGTGAGTCAAACAGGCTCTGGCTTGGATGTCCTATGTCCTATACTTTCTTAAAGCGCAGCCGAAGCGCCTGGGAAGGACTCACATCCAGAAAAAGCCCGCCAAACTCGGGCACCTGTGCGGTGATGTAACTTCCGCCCCTGCGCGCTTCCTCGGGCGCCCCCTGCCTCTGGCCCTGTCCGTTTCCGGCATTTCAATAAAGCTCCCTTCGGCTCGAAGAAGCCTTGCTCTTCCGGGAAAATGGCGACTCCCGCTCGCGCGCCAGAGTCGCCGCCGGCCGCGGAGCCTGCGCCCGCCGTGGGCCCCGCCGGGGAGCCCTGCCCGCCGCGCCAGCCGCAGCCCGTGCACAATGTGCTCGCTGCCCCGCGGCTTCGAGCCCCCAGCTCCCGAGGACTTGGGGCAGCGGAGTTCGGCGGAGCTGCGGGAGAGGTTGAGGCGCCAGGAGAGACTTTTGCGCAACGAGTAAGCGGTGGCCCGGGGGTCGCGGATCCGGGATAGGGCTCAGGGAGCCAGGCTCTCGAGAGTGGGGGTCCGGGACAGGCCCCTCGCTCCCCGCCGCGGCCTTTCGCGCGAAGGTGACCTTGCGTGATCAGGCCTCCTGGCCAGGCCCGGCCCTGCGCGCTGCATGGCTCCATGCTGCCCGGCTTCGCTAGCCGCCGCGCGTGCTCGGTTCCATGTTCCCACTGCAGCTCGGAGGGACTCCCTGTACCAAATCCGCTTGAGCAGAACGTGTTGGTTTCCTCTTCTCAGTCGAAAGTCGCACGCTTTACCGAACCGTAGGAGATGGGGAGAGCGAGCTGCACAGAGTGGCTGATTGGGCCTAGAAAGGTTTCGCTCCCCCGTAGTAGGGGAGATGATGGTAGCTAATTTTTAAAGGCAGCTTGTTGAGGAACGGGGTTGACAGAATAAGAGGCAGAGGACACCAGAAGAATGTTTTCGGAGAGATTTTTAACCAGGGCGGGGGGAGGGGATGAACTATGAAGGAATCGAGGAAAAGGGAAAACTTAAATACTGGTGGAATAATTAGGAGCAAATATATAGTAATAGTTAACAGGTGGTTGAAATTGAAATTTCCGGGGAGCCACAAAGGATAATGGGGAAATTGGGAGAAGGGAATGGATTCAAGGTTAATTTTTGTTTTAGGCTGTATTTAGTTGAGGGGAGTAATGGCAGGCATCTAGTTATCTAAAAGCCAGCTGTTTAAAACCCTGAGGAACGGGTACTAGGCTCAAGAGAGAGAAGGCTGAAAAAGTTGAGGAAGCTCAAGGTATTAATACTGTTGAAAACATGGCGAATGAATGTGGTATCAGGAAGAGTACAGGCCCTTTCTCCGTTTGTTATATAACCAAGGGAAAGCACCAGAAAGGGAATTTCTGTCACTGAGTGAAGGGAGCCAGTGACCACTTGGGAGGAGTTAGTACTGGAATCGGGTGGGTGATTTGACTTCTCAGAATGGGTTGTTAACCTTTTGGTCTTGGGACGGACATCTTTAGATATTTTTAAGAATTAGTGGGTATCCCAAAGAGCTCCTGTGTTTTTTGTTTTTTTTTATTCAGACTGTATCAGTTCCAAAGTATAAGAAAACAGTGATAAACAGAATTTTGCCCTTTTTTTCCATAACCCCCCTTTTTTTACATTTTTTAAATTCTTTATTAATTATACTTTATTCACTTTGTATTCCCCCCCCCCATGCTTCCCTCCTCCCATCCCAATCCCTCCCTCCCTCCACCTCTGCATGCATGCCCCTCCCCAAGTCCACTGATAGGGGAGGTTTTCTTTTCCTTCCTTCTTATCCTAGTCAATTAGGTCTCATCAGGAGTGGCTGCATTGTCTTCTTCTGTGGCCTTGTAATGCTGCTTCCCCCTCAGGGAGAGGTAATTAAAGAGCGGGCCAATCAGTTCAAGTCAGAGACAGTCCCTGTTCCTGTGGGTTACAATGGAACCCACTTGGATACTGAACTGCCATGGGCTACATCTGTGCAGGGGTCTTAGGTTATCTCTATGCATAGTCCTTGGTTGGAGTATCAGTCTCAGGAAAGACCCCTGTGCTCAGATTTTTTGGTTCTGTTGCTCTCCTTGTGGAGTTCCTGTCCTCTCCAGATCTTACTGTTTCCCACTTCTTTCATAAGATTCCCTGCACTCTGCCCAAAGGTTGCCCATAAGTCTCAGCATCTGCATTGATAGTCTGCAGGGCAGAGCCTTTCAGAGGTCCTCTGTGTCAGGCTCCTGACTTGTTCCCTCTTTTCTCCTCCTTCTGATGTCCATCCTCTTTGCCTTTCTGGATAGGAATTGAGCATTTTAGCAAGAGTCCTCCCTCTTGATTAGTTTAAGTGTACAGATTTTAGTAGATTTATCCTATGTTATATGTCTATATGAATGAGTATATACCATGTGCATCTTTCTGCTTCTGGGATAGCTCACTCAGGATGACCTTTTCCAGATCCCACCATTTATCTGCAAATTTCATGATTTCCTTGTTTTTTTATTGCTGAGTAATATTCCATTGTGTAGATATACCACAATTTGTGCATCCATTCCTCCACTGAGGGGCATCTGGGCTGTTTGAGCTCCTGTTTTTGTATGCTGAGTCTAGAAATACTCTCAGAAGCAACATGTAAGTCTATCTTCATTTGCAAGATAGTGATGCTGTCCTATTATGTGACCTGGGAAACGTTTAGCCCAATAGAGCCATTTCTCAGCCCCATTAGGGTTCAGAGACCGTACTTTTTAAACCTCTGGTCTTTATCATCTGTTTATTGTACAGGCTAAGTGTCTGTTTTTCTAAATGCTTAGGACCAGAATTTCATTTTTAGAGGGCTTGGAGTAAGTGTGGGTGTGTGGTTGAGACCCAAATCTAACCGTGAATTTCAGTTATTTCTTGTAAGTGGCTTGAAGATAATTTTATACCATGTTCTTTATAACTTGGGTTTTGGCTGCAACTCATCCTGGGGTCAGGTGTGCAATTTTCCATGGGGGAGTCAATGTCCAGGTTTAAAGAATTTCAGTTTTAGATTAAGAAGACAAAACTTTTATTCCTGAAATTCTGATCTGATGAAATTTTTCATTCAGAGCACACCCTTGATTAGGGTGGGATAAGACTAATTTCATCTGTTTGGTTCCTGTCTTAGGTCAGATAAAAATCAGATTTTTTTTTAACTTAAAAGCCAGCTTTTCTTTGAGGACTACATTTTTTCTTTAAAGGCTGTGTTTTTGTGTTTAAAAACATGACTGTAATGTGTACATATTGGTTTCTTTTTTCCACTCAACAGAAAATTCATTTGCAAATTGCCCGACAAAGGTAAAAAGATCTCCGACACCATTGCCAAACTGAAAGCTGCCATTGCAGATCGTGAAGAGGTTGGAGGGAGAAGTAAACTGTTTCATCCTGTTAGTGTAGACTGTAAGCTAAGGCAACAAGCAACCACAAGAGTCGATACGGACGTAGACCAGCCCCAGAATTCTGACCTGATGCTTGATACTTCATTATTAGTTCCCGAATGTTCCTCTGTAGACACTGAATCATCTAAAGCAACCTCAGCATCTCCGGGACCTGCACATCTCACTCAGTCTCACAAAGGCAATGAAGAGACTTTAGAGGCTGGCTGTACACTGAACACAGGCCCAGCTCCCAGCAGCAAAGCCAGGCCATTCTCATCTGAAGTTAACGAACATCTCCCCCAGCGCCCTGTTTCAAGTCAAGAGGGAGATATTTCCAGCAGCATTGACAGTCTGTTTATCACTAAATTGCAAAAGATCACAATCACAGACCAGAGTGAACCCTCAGAAGAAAACACCAGTGCTGACAACCTTCCAGGGCTCCAGAGCGAGACTCCCAAGAAGCCTCATTACATGGAAGTGCTAGAAATGCGAGCCAGAAACCCAGTGCCCCCTCCTCATAAGTTTAAGACCAATGTGTAAGTGTCACAGGGACAGGCTTGTCCTGAGAATGTGGTGTGTGGTGCTCAAGTACAGAGTTCACAGAGTTATCAGAGAGCATCACGTGAGGAGCTGTAGGCTGGAGTGACCATGTTGTGAAAATAGACCAGTGTGCTAACATGGAAAACTGCTCTTGAAAAAAATGTTAGTTTTGAAGGCGAGACATTAGAAGGGTTTTAAATAGCAGATGGGAGTAGTGTGTTTCAGGATACTTAGCCAGTATTTCATAACAAACAGTGGGAGGGCAAATGTATTGGGACTTTGCAGTACCATTTGCTGGTGTGCAGCTCCCCCTCAATTGCTGTGTTAACCGAGAGAAGCAGTTGCAGGAGCTAATGGGCCATCCCGCAGCCAAACAAAAAACCTGTGTGCTCACCCAGGTAGGCAGCAGAGCTGTGGGGGCACAATGAGGTGACGATTCTGCTCCTCAAAGAGGTTGGAATCTAGAGGAGCCCTCAGAGTTTCCAAACTAGATAACAGCAGTCTCCAGGGACGGGATAAAGGGATTTATTTTAAAAATATAACCTAAAAATAGATTTGGGGAGAATGTCATTGGAGGGGGGAGCGATCTTGTCTTTGAGTTCTTTGCCATGTTTCCGAGATCACCCAAACAACTAAAGTTTTTTTTGAGGAGAAAATAATTGTGTTTGTAGCAATTAGGGCAACTATACAAGGAAGTAGCAGGTAACTGCCATCTTTACAGAGGAGATGTCAGACACAAAGGAGGAATGTGAAAACTGAAACTTCAGAAGACCAACATCACCTTTGTCCTTGCAGAGACTTAAGCCTAACTATTACTTGAACCTTAAGTGCTTGTTTCCATTTAGAAATCCAGGTCATAGTGTATTACTTTTTAGCTAGAAAAGTTAACCTTTGATAAAGGCATCTGGATGAAGTGGTCTCAACTTCCGTGTGGCGCGGTGTTTGTTTCACTTCTAAGATATTACATTAGGAAACCAGAAGTATGTCAGAAAGAGTAAGGTGGCCAGGAACAGGGACAGTGAGGAATGAGCAGTGAGGGCTACCAGGATTAGTGTGTTAGAGGACAGCCTGAGCACAGAAGAGACCGGGAGAGGCTGCATCTGACCACGGGCACATGGTATTGGGCTTGTGGTAAGTGGAGCTTTGAGCATGCAGTGAGATGAGCAGTGATTCCAAGCCCCTTTCACAGGGGTCGCACGTCAGATATCCTGCATATCCGGTATTTACATTATGATTCATAACAGCAAAGTACAGTTACGAATTGCAACAAACAGTTTTATGGTTGTGGGTCACCATTGTATGAGGGAGTATCTTAAAGGGTCATAGCTTTAGGAAGGTTGAGAACCACTGTGAAGTTAATGGTAACACCACTGTGTCATACACCACCACCATCTCCTGTCTGTGACCGACATGGGGTTTCCTAGGTCTCCTTGTTGTCCTCTGAAGTTCTCCTTAATCTCTGGGGCTAGAATTGTCAGTTCCTCCCTTTCCCTCAACTTCCAGCTCATTTTCCTCCAGAACTGTTCAGTCCAACAGTGCCTCTGTTGTATTCCACTGAAGCAGTACTATGGTTACTCCCCTTTATGCCCAAGCTCTGTTACAAGTGTTCTCTGAACAGAGTATAAGGTGTGTTTCTGTGTGTGCACCCACTGTAAGCAGTGAAATGGAGGCCTGCTTTCTGTTAATCTTGAACAAGCAGTAGGATCCTGGCTTAGAGGCCAGCTTTGTGCCTGTTTGTGGTTTGATTATAGCTGTTTTTCCTTTTTCAGCTTACCCACACAGCAGAGTGACTCACCAAGTCATTGTCAGAGGGGTCAGTCTCCTGTTTCCTCAGAAGAGCGGCGACGCAGGGCTAGGCAGCACCTTGATGACATCACAGCAGCACGCCTCCTTCCGCTCCACCACCTGCCCGCCCAGCTGCTCTCTATAGAAGAGTCACTGGCCCTGCAGAGAGAGCAGAAGCAGAATTACGAGGTAATTCTGGAGTCTTGGATTTTCTTGTCTCTGGCTGCTGCTTTAGGAGTCAATTTACTTTGGCTGAATAGAAGGATTAGATTCTAGAGATGTGGTTGGCTGAGCTCTTAGACTTGTGCTACTAGTTGTCAGTCATGAAGTTGCTAGAGCCATAGGAAACCTCAGTAGTGATTCACCAGTAGATGTGGGAAGAGGATTGGAAGGAAATGGGTCGGCCTGGTGCTGCTGGGACAGCATCTGCTTCTCTCCTGTGTGGCGGCTTCTTGGTGGCAAGACCTCACTCGGGATTAGATGAGTGGGGTGATGGTTCCTGTTCCATCTCCTACAGGACAGTGGCCAGTACAGAAGGGCAAGAGGCCATAATTGATGGCCTATTCGGAGGTTCCTTCTACTTTGGCTCTTAATCAGTTTAATTGCATAGACTTTTTTAAAAAATGTGTATTGTCCAGGTGTTGCGGTACACACCTTGAATCCTAGCATTTTAAATTCCAGCAGTTGGGAGGTAAAGGTAGGTAGATCTCTGTGAGTTGGAGGCTAGCCTGGGCTACGTTAGCAGGTTCTAGGCCAGCCAAAGTTATAGATGGTGAGACCCTGTCTATAAATGTATACTATTGATAAAGTTTGTATTCAAATTAGCAGATGGGTGAAGTAAGTGTGGGGACTCTTGGGAGAAGAGGAAGGATTATTTATGCTTAGATTGTAACACTGAGTTTCTGGAAAACACTGTTCCCTCTCTCTGAATTGCTTAGGTAGGTTTTAGCCAGGTGCCCGCGTCTTCTAAAGTTCAACTAGCTGGATCTCCGCCTTTGTGTTCCCTAAGCATTCAACTTGCTCAGACAAACCTTCAAACCTAAAAAACATGATTTAATCTAGAGAAGAAAGTCTTGTTCATTGGGAGACGTCAGCACCACATTTGGTGATTTCTAACACAGGCAGGTGGTTCAGTGTGCGTGACATACCTAGTGTGTCTGTTAATAGCTATAGTGCCAAGGTGATTTCTCAGTTTCTTGTGCAGAGAGATAAACTGATTTGATTGTAGCATTGCTTGCTAATGTAAGTCACTAGCAGCTGCAGCAGGCTGACAGTTCACAGAGACATCACCCCATGCCTGACAGGACACAGCTCTCAACTTCTTATATTGCCACAGACAGTGGGAGTTACATTCTTTTTTCTTTGTCCTGTTGAAATATTGTAAGGGAAGTTGTGGAAGTGTAACTTGGTCTTTGTTCATTGTTTTAAAGGAGATGCAGGCAAAGCTCGCAGCACAGAAACTAGCTGAAAGACTGAACATTAAAATGCAGAGCTACAATCCAGAAGGGGAGTCTTCAGGGAGATACCGAGAAGTGAGGGATGAAGATGATGCCCAGTCCTCGGATGAGTGCTGAAGATGAGCGCTGGGAGAGATCAAACGCTGACTTTTGAGCTGCTATTGTCTCACATCGAACTTCCTAACAAGTATCAAGATCAGTGTCAGACCTTGTTGAGGGACATTTTTTAAAGTTACACAAAGCTAGCTACAAAATAAGAGCCTGGTTTGTCTTTCAGAAGAAGATCTTCACATGCTTGAACAGTTTAATATTTGAACATGTGTTTGACTGTATTGTACTACAGTTTTGCAGTATGTTGTGCATTGGTCTGATACTTAGTGTGGGTAGAGCACACTTTTTCTTTATAGCTGCTTTTTTTCCCCTTATTCTTACTTGTAACAAATAGCATTGCTTACATCCCTTCTGGTGAAATACTTTGTTATCCCAGGCACCTAAAATGAAGTAGGGAGACCTGGCCTGGTCCCCACTCTTAAGAAATGGAGGGAACAGTCTAAGAATGGTACGCGTGATTGCATGGCGTTCCTGAGATGCTGGATGTGAAATACTGGATGTGGGAGACACTCAGAAATATACAAGTGTTTTCTCCAGTCTTCTTTTAGGGTGACCGCTGTCCTCCTGTGATGAGGATAAGGAGCTCTTTAAAGAGGTGCTGGATGGGAGAGGGTCTTCTGAGCTGGTGTGGGGAGCTGCTCTTGGCTTCCCCTGGCTTGAGCTCATTGCTGTCTTGGATGATAGGCTGCTGTACAGAATGCTCATATTTGGTAAGGAAATTGGTGTTTTTCTAAGAGTTACAGTTGAATTGTCAGTATATTGCTCTTTCCCTTTTTAAACCCAAGGAGGTGTTTATAGGCTACAGAAACGTCAGTCTCATGTATGTATACATTTGTCCTGTTTTAAATGATTATATGATCATTTCCAGCAAAGATAACAATATGTTATCAAAAAAACCCTTTGTCTATTATGTGGAACTTGTAAAGGAGAAATAAAACATCAATCAGAGCAACTTCTCATGCTAATGGTGGTATTTTCTTGGTACTTGTGTGAATTTTACTTCTATAAAAGCCATGTCCATACATGAAATTGGAATGAAAAAGCATATAGGTGAGTTACATATACACTAGGAAGGGCTTGTTTCCATAGCCGTTGAGTCTAGCTGTAATAAGCACGTTTCACGTCTCTCCCACTAAGGAAGGGCTGCTGTAAGAACAATAGGGAACCTGTGGCTTTAAAAGTCCAGTGGATGATTTCAAAACAAATTGATGTTCTCTGTGGAAGGAACCAGCATTTCTGGAGGGCTGGTAAAGGAGAAATGATGCATGAAGTCACCCAGTCCCCTGTGAGCGACCGCTTAGTCTGTTAATATCAAGGGTTTGTACTTTGACTTTTTTTATTCAGTCATTTTATGTGTATGCTCATTCTGCCTTAATGTTTTGTAGACATTTTCCGATTATTTCAGATCTCAGCCACAATATGCTTTTCATGGTTCTCTGTAGCTTTTCAAACAATTGCTAAATAATGATTGTATCACTAAATGACTGTTTAATCAGGAATGGTGATGTGGTCAACACCTTCAAAGGCCATCACATCTTGCTTATTCCCAGTCTTTTTCTAGAAATGAACTTGTTCTTTTTCATGAAGCTGGTCGTGGAACTGAGGGCCTCACGTAGGCTGAGCAAGTGCTCTAACAGTGAGCTACAGCACCAACCTCAGGTGACTTGATTCTTTTCTTCCCTTTTTTCTTTTTCTATTCTTTTTTTGTTTTTCTGTGTAGCCATGGCTGTCCTGGAACTTGCTCTGTTTTTCTGAGACAAGTTTTCATCAAGTTGCCCAGGCTGGTTTTGAACTTGCTTTCCTCCTGCTTCAATCTCTGAGGTAGTTGGGATTTACAGGCCTGAACCAGCAGGTACAGCTTAGTGAACTTCTAAGTGAAAATGCAGAGTGTATGAGGGTTTTCATGTATGTTGTTGACTGCAGAGGTTGTAGTTCTACCAGAAATAAGCACAACTTAAAATTTATACTTAAAGACCTTGGCAAATTAGTGGAAAAGGCATTTAAAATGTATGGTTTTTTGTTGTTGTTGTTGTTTTTTTGTTTGTTTTTTTAATGAAGGTTAGGTTTGGTTTTGTTTTTTTTTTTAAATGTTATTAGCTCACTAGGATAGTAACTACTATTTTGAAGAGTTCCCCCCTCCTCCCCAAGAATGGCTTTAATCCATACCTTTGCAGTTTTTGGAGAGTTTGCCTGTTTTTCGTGGCTTATAAGTTTTGAATGAAGAAATACACCCTTTCACCCTTTGTCATGCAATTTTTGATTTTTATTTTTTAGTGGGCCATTTACCATTTAATATAGTTTATGATGTTTGATTTTGTCTTTATCCAGGAGCCTGCCTTTGCTTGTTTGCTTCAAAAGATTGTGGTTTTGGTCAGGTCCTGTCATGTCATCCCTCCACTTTCCATGCCCTCACTGTGTAGATGTCTGTTCTGGAGCTCACTATATAGAAGTCAAAGTTAAGAGATAGGCCTGCCTCTGCCTCCTGAGTGCTAGGATTGAAGACGTGCCACTATTCCCGCTTTCCCGCAGACTTCTTAAGCCAGCAATGGATATTTGTTTCCTTCTAGTATCTTCCCCACCCCCATTTTTTAGATTTTTAAAAATCTTTTTTTGATTTTGTATGTATGTGTGTTCTGTGAGGGAGTATATGCATACAAGTGCAGGTGCCTGTGGAAGCCAGAAGAGGTCATCCATTCCCTAGAGCTGAAGCTACAGGCAGCTGTGGGTGTTGGGAATAGAACTGGCATCCTTTGCAAGAGCAGTATGGGAACTGAGCCATCTTTCCAGTCCCTTTATTGTTGTAGAGTTAGCCTTCCACTCAGAAGGGATGTTAATTTTTTTTCCATGCATCAACTCATTTAGTCTGTACAACCTTGGGGTGAAAGGGAAATGTTTGCTCCTTGTCAGGTTTCTCCTATGGACACTGGAGAAGGGAAGAGTTGCGTGTCACTTCTTGCAGAGTGTTTTAACAATTGGTTCAGTCCCAGAAGCCACCATTCTCTCTGTTCTGTAAGGCCGTTTTAATAGGATAGTAAAGTCCTGTAAAAGTGCCTTTTGTGTCTTGGGCCTATTTCTGAACCCTTAATATTTTCAAACTGTTAATCACTGTGGCTTTAGCTGCCATCAATACTCAATAGACCAAGACCTCCTTAAGTTCTGTGACACATAACTTACAAGAAAGTATATAAAATACAAGCACTTAATGGATAAAGCGACAGTGACAGCTGCATGATCAAAGCAGAGGCAGAGACGCCGCTGCCAACCTGCCAACCTTCCATGTCCTTATGTGTGTCCCTCCTGGCGCACTCTCCTTCCTCCCCAAAGAAATCACTGCTCTCCTGACCTTGCCAGCATCTGATTCCTTCTTATTATTTACCATCTTTGTAGGTCCCCTTCGGGCTTTTACAAAGGCTCAGTCATTCTCTGTTACGCCCGGTACTTTTCACTCACATTGTTTAGGAAATTGATGTCCTGTGGTGTGGTTGATTAATTTTTGCGATTAGTGTATCGTATTTAGCATGTGGTTTCTTCTGTGATTGACATCATTTCAGTTTGGGAATGGAAAGCAGCGACACAGTCCCTTTGCACACCTGAACAGTCTCTAGCCCGGCTGGCCTGGAACTCACTACACAGACCTGGCTTGAGCTCATAGTGACGGGTCTGCTTTTGTCTTCCCAAGGCTGGGATTAGAGGTGTGCGCCTCTGAACACATTTGTATAGGATGTAAACCAGGAGTGGAGTTGTTGTGTTATGGTGTGGCTCGTCTTTATCATTTTATACTCCCATCACCTCTTGACGCTGTAAGAATTCCGTTTGCCCGCATTTGGCACTGCCAGGCTGTAGGTTATTTCAGTATTCCTTGTGGCTGTATTTGTTACTTTTCTGTCGTGGTAGAAAACCCTGACAAAAAGCAGCTTTGGGGAGAGAGGGTTTCCTTGGTTTACAGTTCCGGAGGGATGCATTCTATCCTGGGGCAGGAGTGTGAGGCTGGTCAATCATGTTGTTAACGTACAGGAAGTGGAGTCAGGATGCGAAACCTCAACGCCCATCCCCAGTGACTCACTTCTTCAAGCAAGTCTCTGCCTTCTACAGGTTCTACACCCTCCCCAGACAGTGGCCCCAGCCTGGGACCAAACGTTCAAACACATGAACAGTATTCAAATCACAAGGCTGGGTTTATTCTGCATTGCCCTAATTAGGAATGCCGCTGAGGCATCATCACACACTTAGCTCTCTTCAGAAGTACCTATTTGCATATTGCCTATCTTTTAAACTGTGTACTATTAGCTATCCTTATTTCCTTATTGGTACGTAAAGTAAAAAAGCTTTAATATTTGTGTAGTTATATTTGCTATACATATCCTGAATTTGGGGGTATTTTGTCCTTTTTGTGGTATATTGATTAAAAAAAAAACAGTTTTGATGGCAAATCTATTCAAATTTTTTATTTGGTGGAGGTTTAAAAATTTTTATTTTTAGTGTGTGTGGTCTCTTAAAAGGAATCTTTTCCTGTCCTGAACTTAACAACTTGTAGTCTTTTTTTACGATTTATTTTTATCTTATGTATGTAGGTATTCTCTCTGCATGTATGTTGGCCCCACATGTGTGTGCATTGTCCACAGAAGGCAGAAGAGGGCGTTGGTGCCTCCAGTTGCTTTTCTGTTTCTGTGATAAAGCACTGTGACCAGGGTAACCTAAAGAAGAATTTATCTGGGCTCACGATTCCCAGGAGATAAGAGTCCATCGTGGTGGGGAGGCATGGCGGCAAATGGCAGGCATGGCGGCCAGCGCAGGGCGCTGAGAGCTGGGATCCTTCACTGTCGGATGAAGCAGTGGGAACTGCACCCCGGACGAGATCGCGAACACCGGAAGCCTGCCCCAGCAGCATACGAACTCGAGCAAGGCCACATGTAAACCTCCCCAGACAGCGCCACTCACTGCGGACCACGCTGATGGGGGACCTGCTTACTCAGATCTCCTTACATTCCACATGCTGGTCCACGGTGATCAACCACCATCTATAACTCCACTTCCTCTTGTGTGCATGTGGTGTGTGTGTGTGCGCGTGCGCGCGCGCGCGTGTATATAGGGTGAGGGTGACACGTCTTCCTCATTCCTTTGAGCTGGAGTCTCTCCTTGAATCAAGAGTTCACATTTTTTCAGCAAGGTTGGCATTCAGTAGGTCCTTCCTGGCCCTGGCCTCCTCATTGCTGGAATTACAAGCAGGCATGGGACCTCATTCAGCCTGCTACGCGGTGCTGGGATCTGAATTCTGGCCTCACAGTAATTGCAGCGTGCTCTCTAACCACTGAGCCTTCTCCCTAGCGCCTTAAAAATATCTTCATGGTTAGAGATTGCTTTATACTTTTGCCTTAGGTCTTTATTTCGCCTGGAATAAGTTATCATTGTGTGAATGGGGAGAGTGGGTCTCAGGTAGCCACCTGCCCTGGCCCCTGCATGCCTCTGCTACATATGCCTGGCATTTGGGCATTCTCTCTTCATTCTTCTTAATCTTTTTGTATTAACAATGTATTGCCTTGTTGGCTGGAGCAAGGCCTCTGTCTTGTTCTTCAAGTTGATTGGTTATTTTTTAAAAGCTTTATTATTTTTATGTTATGTATATGAATATTTGCCTGTGTGTGCGTATATGTACCGTGTATGGAGGAGGCTAAAAGAGGGCCTCAGATCCCTTGGGATGCTTATTAGCTGCCATGTGAGTACTGGGAATTGAACCAGGGTCCTCTGTAAGGACAACCAGTTGCTTTTAACCAGGGAGACACCTCTCCAGCCCCTGCTTTGTTATTTGTAAATGGCTCTTCCCATCTTCATAAAAACGCAGACATTTAGGAACCATTTGTTGTCATGGTCTACAAACAATGAATCGGAGAAAGAAGATCCCTGGGGTTCTGGCCAGCTAGTCTAGCCCAATAGGTAAGCTCGAGACACTGTCAA